GTTTCATAAGTCCCCGGGTACTAAAAATTCTAAGTAAGCCGTCACCTCTCGGAGTGCAAAGCAAGGTTTCTGTGCCCTTTCCTAACTGTCGCAGTCTGGAACGTGTACTTAACTACTGACACGGCGCTCTTCGAAATGCAAACGTTTGCAGATCACATTGCGTTAGTTTCCACAATAGTTTCAGACGAGGGCCCTTAAGGATCGCGAGCCTGTTTTACAGTCCATTGGCGCGGATTCGAGCATGCGTGGGGACCGAGCGACTCTAGCAGTACCTCTAATCGACACGTGACTGTTGCTGGATGCGCGGCGGGGAAGCGTCGATACTGCATACCTGATTAGTACCGAAGTCTTTCTTGCTTTCCTGCAACAAATGCTAGAACCATGCCGAAAAGACTGTCCGCCGACAGTCCGCGGAGAGTCAGAACTAAGTCCTGAATGAACATGAATCGGTGTGCTAGTGGACTATCAGAAGCATTCTGCCGCGGCGCATCTCCTATACCACACTTGCTTCCCCAAAACATTGCCTTATATTTCCTATTAGCACAACCCGATCTGTTACCCCGCACATAGTAACTTAAGCAAATGACGCACGCGAATTCGTAAAAACACTTCATGAGTGCTTAGAATGTACAGGATGTTTTGGTATTTACGTCCGGAACTAGGAGCGGTTGTGCCCAAGTGCTGACTTACCCCGGTACACCGAATTGCCAACTGTCCAATGGCGCAAATTGCTTTGCCGAATGCTTCGACAGGGGTGAGACGGGACGCAGAGGCGGGACCTGTGTGTCTACGATCGCAGAGCAGACCAAGGGAACAGAGCCCTTCGGCTGTGAGAAGTGAGTGTTAGCCAAACGCCGAAGCCGCATTGGAGATGTCCTGCTTCCGTCGATTGGTAGTCGGCTTTCACGAAAGTGAAAAAGCCAGCAAAATGGATGTCGTTTCTGATGCATTCCATTGCGTTAGCGCTAGATAGTAGATGCAAGGGCTTACTGCTCCTAGTTCTGGATTACTCTAACGTCACTGGAATCGTCGACAGTTCATTACTTCACAACATTTGGTCGAAATGTTATCCTTGATATGTTTGTACTGTGATGCGTGATTACTGCTCAAATCGCACGCACTTCCCGCAGCTATGCGGCAGAAAGTCGTCTATAACCTAAGCCAATTGTGGTATTTGTAGGGAGCTATCCTTCTTCCCTTGCTATTCCCCGTCTACGTTAAAACTCTCAATTCCTTCAAACCATAGGCTATAAATATGCTGATGACGTCGTCCTGGGACTCTGTGAAATGCCAACAGAGGTCAGACGAACTAGTGACTTAGTCGAGCGCCTAGTCCCCCTCCCTCGTAAAGGTGTGTTTTCTATATCCAAACAGACTGCGGCACATTGTACAAATCTCCCCTCCCATGATTGGGGACGACTAGAGTACACCTCAGACCTCTACTGTAAAATAACGGAGTTTTCCTATCTCACAATTTATCTCGGTCTGCACATATTCCTGAAACTTTAAAAAGCCAGAAAACGCCTTTTACGCACACACACTCAAAATGCTTTTCATTCCCCGTGTTTTTTCTGAGGTTTGTAACTACATATATACTTCCGCACTGATTAAACTTCATCAAAAGTTTAGCTCCCACTTGTCCGTACGCTAAACTTTATTTGCGGTTGCTCTAGATTAAGGACAACACATCCCACTGATATTCTCGTTAATAAATATTTTGATATTTGCATCAACTTTTCAAGCAGGATAGTAACTAATTCCTCTCATCCTTTACATACTATCCTAGCCAGCCCTATATGTGCTTCACCTATATGGTCAACATTTAAAGTTTTCTTTTCCAATAGCTTGTCATATCGAAACTCCATCCCGCCTTATCGTGCACGCTTACTAATCGACCCAACAGGATTAAAACACCGTTTTCATGACCGTATGCTTGACTGAAGATGCAACCGTTTGTTTTTCAGTTGTTACTTGATGCTTTTTGTTAGTGTTCATGTGATAGAACTGAAAATGCGACCATACGGGCGACTTGAGTTAGACTTGACTCGGAAGTAATGTCAGTGAAAAACAGCTAACCTGTAGAAGTCTCAGTGTAAATAACCGGGTCACTTCCATAACAAACGACGCTTTTTGCATTCACGGGACATTTCCTTTCCTTCAGTCAAACAAATGCACTTCAGCGCAGCGAAATATTAATCAATCCTCATAGAGGCGGAGATGCATAGGGTTCAAAGCATCCGTTCTGTTCGTTTGCGACTATCTATTCGCATGCTTCGTCATTTAAATTCATTTCGTTCCTCTGATTGCATAAGCTTATCATATCCCCCAAATCTTCGTGATCAACCGCATCCATGTCGCTGAAGTATCCGTATGCTCTTCCGCTCTGCGTGGTTGTTGCTGCCCCTATCTTTTTGATCTAACTGTAAGCCACTGTGTGCCTTGCTTCAGGTTCACCTTGGCTTTGCCGGTGACGCCCCCTTTGCACTCTGTTCCTTATGATTATTTCACTTCCAGTATTAACCTAACAAGGTCATTTTCCGACTTTCGCGGTTACTACAGCTTACTCCCATGAGTTGCTGGCATGCGGTGTTGTTTGAATCCACGCTTTCTCTTTGTCCGCGCGGTTAGCGTCTGGTTGGCACATGGGTACCGCTGCCGTTCACTGTTTCTGAGCTTCCGTCCTTTAAACGCTTTTGCGATTGCTCATGCGAAGGCAAAACCGGGTGTAAAAGTGTGGTCAACACAGACATTAGGATTCTTGTCCTTCTGCTACACCGACGTTGCACTGGATTAAGAAAGATATTCGATGACATCAAGTTGTGAATCTCCAACAGTATCAGTTAAATGTCCTTGTGGGGTGATCTAGCCTTCGATAACAGCCTCTTGACTTGTATGACTGCCGCCTTTGCTTTTCCTTTTGAGTGGTTGACGATGCGAGCTAGTTTATCGGTGCGAAAATACCCACTTGTTTACAAAGGTCCTGAAAGCGACACTTAGAAACTGTAGGCGATTGTCGAGGACCTGTTCGTCCGGTATTCCGTGTCTGGCAAATTGACATATAGACTTATTAATGACTGATACTGTGACGATTACAGTGAGTAGATCGATCTCGATGTACTAGTCTCGCTGTACTAGTCCATTAATAATGTAAAGGATAAGCACACCGAAACTATCTGCCATAGTCAATGTGGAACCTCACGCATGACCATTGCTTCCTTGGCTTTCCCAGCTTCGTTGGATTGACGGTTTGGACAGCATGATGCTTGATTTCATAAATGACTCTTCATCCGGAGTCAGAGAAGCAGATCTCATGCTCTGCTAATGCTGCAGTTAACACACAAGTAAGCTCGATGAGTGTGTTTCTGCATATATATACATATATATATATATATATATATATATATATATATATATATATATATATATATATACGGAGGGATGGCAGGATCAAAATACGCTTTCCTTTGAACAGCAAACCTCCATAAGCCGTGCGTTGGTTCAGGAAGATAAAGAATTACGTTAATCCCTTTTGAAATGTGTCCTCTGTTTACAACTATCCTCTCGAAAGCACGTCTTGCAACACCGCACACGTCGTGTTCACCACTTTATGGCACCTTATTTGCATCAAGCGATCTGTCGTTATAGTCAAAAGTTGTAGCATATGTAATGCATCGCTTTCTCCCTGTTGTTGCTGTATTATCGTAAAATGAGCTTTCAGCAGAGCATCCGCGATGAACACCTACGTATCCGAGGTATAAATAAGTTCTATGTCGTATTTTTGGAACCGGATATGCATACGTCATCCAGGGACACTGTACAACGGTTTGCTGGTCACTAAGACGAGTAGTTTATGGTTAGTACACACGGTACTTTTCTTCCAAAAGGTGTAAGTTTTGAATCGCTCCATCGCGTAGAAAATAGTGAACAACTCTAGTTGCCGTCAGTGCTGGATCGCTAAAATCCAAGGGTTCGCCATCTTGCATGAGAACGGCGCCTATTCCACTCTGGCTACTGACACACTGTGTCTCCAAAACCAATGCTGGATCATGGTAGCCAAGTGCCGGTGCACAGCTGGTAAGATGCATGATGCTCGTAAAAGTTACTTCCTGTTCTTTCCTAAACTCTACCTTACACCTGTGGAAGTCAGCCTCCGGATGGGCGTCACGCTTTCAGTAAGTTTCGGCAAGAATCGGTACAAATAGTTTCTTATGCCATTTAAACGACTAACAGCCTTGATTTCCTTAGGTTGTTGGATGTATTGTCAGTAATTGGACACTTGTTGCCCTTATGCGGACGATGGATTTTCAAAACTCAAGTGTCGGTTATTCAGATCCAAATTGGACCATGATCAATTGTTAATATTCTGTGTAAATAAAATATCCATAAATCATGGGAAACATTGTTCCACATTTTGCATACGAGATACTTTTCCATCTCCTACTGTTATCCTGTCGTGCTTCATTAACGCATTCAAGCACCTGGGCGTTGTTTTCTTCCGTAGTTTCTTTTCTACCAAACTGTTGTTGGGTCATTGGTCCCGGTAGTACAAATCATATGTTTGCTAGCATTTGTGTTTCCAGTCAAAGTACTTCCTAGTCATGCTATCAATAGCAAAGTACCCGATTGTACATCAGCTGTGTTATTACCGGTTTACGGTTCCTTAAGCAACAATTTCCAACGCGTTTTAAGCGAAGCATCTAAAACTTGTCCTTCAAGAACAGACTAGGGAATTCGCTGTGTCGGCACCAATCTTCCCTTTTTAGAATTGTTCCTTTCACTAAGTGATCGCTGAGGTAATTGTATCACCTAGGAATGTGCATCCATATTCTACATGTGTATTTAAGTTACATTAACTTGTTTCACATTTTAGATTTATCACACCGAAAGAAAGGTTTTCGAATCCAACATGTCGTTCTTCTGCTGTCGGGTAGGTCTATAAGTGGCCGCGATGCGAAAGTATTATTGACAATGTGTTACACAGTTATGTACAAACGACTCACATCATTCGTTCCTTCCGTGCGCATTGATAGATGACCGGTTAGTTGGTTTAGATTGATTGGCACTGTTTTGTTCTCAGTTGGTTCATTTGAGTCACACTCCTGTCCACGCCGTGGCGATAACTCCTTACGTTGTTCTGCAGTGGAGGTTGTTTCATGATCTTTCTGCTTTTCAGTTGAACAAGGATAGGTATTAAACGACCTCGCTTTTGGTAATGTGCGGAACTCTGTATTAGGATAGCGCCTACCGTCTGATTTGAAGGGAATAAAGAAGGAGCTGGCTTTGTGACTGCTGGTCCCGGATTTGCTCGTATCCTCATGAACCTCTGGTGTTTGGGTACATTCATCCATGGTAGTGTTCGTCTGAGCAATGTCGGGAAACGTTACAGACTTTGCTGGAGAACTAGTTACCTACAATGGATAGAACATATGATATAATAATTAGCAGAATGATTACAATAGCACAAGAGTAGTCCTACAGTTCAAGAACTACAGAAGAGTATTTTAATAAAGAAAAAAGCGAGAGTTTAAGAGGTTTCGTAGGGTGGTCAGGGTGACTATCTCAAAAATTCGAAAGTTCATATCGGTGAACTCACTGGGGCATGCGCATTAAAAGCATTTAATTCGCTTTAAATTCATGAGGTATTAGCATAGTGACGTTTACATAAGCCATGGTATCTGGTGAACATTGGAAAGAAGTAAAGAATGTGGAAGATCTGGCGTCATCTGACCGGCAGTGAACTCTCCAGCTGACACTCGTGTTTGGCAATGGGCAATGAGTCGTGTGATACAGTGGATATAAACAAGCGCACTGACAACTCGAGGTTTGTACCCCACGGGCGAGGAAGAGCAGATGACGGATTCCGAAAAGGCGTTCTGTACTTGGGCAACATGTACGGAAAAGAAATTATGGTGGCATTTCAAACGACAACACTTCTCTGACAGCCTCAGATGGTGACCCATTAGGCTGCTGTTGTGACTGGGCTCAGTAGATGGAAGCACGAAAGATGGAGGCCTCACACAACGGCCGGTACCGTCTACTGAAGAACCAGAGCACTCGCAGCCTTTATTCACACCGTAAATGGCACAAACGTTTGACGTTTTTAATTGTCCGGCTTTGAAACACCTTCAAAGCAGTGAAATTTCTTCTCATTCATGGCTGTAAAGGCCATATTGCATTTGCTACTTGTGGACAAATGTGTGCATCAAGAAGCTGCTGAAAAATTGTAGGGGCAAATAGTCCGAACGCACGCCGCAGAAGGTCCAGATTTTGAATGTCCTTTCGTCATGTCTTTTCAGCCTTAATCGAACAGTCAAGGTCGGCATGGATCGTAACGCCAAGCTCCTTATCCCTGCGATGTATTGGAAGCACCTGGTTGTCCAGTTTTTAGAAGCACGCCAGCTGGTGCCGCAGGGCCAGCACTTCAGATTTATCCACACGAACCGTACTAGCTTCTAGATTGACCACGCGCAAACTTTATCCAAAGCAGCTTGCAGTGATGAAGGATCATCCAGTGTATTGATAGTTATCCATACTTTGATGTCGTCGTCATACAGTATACATTTCGAACTAATAAGGCTTGTTGTATCGTTGATGTACGTCAAAAGCAAGTTGGACCCCAACACAGATCTCTGTGGTACACTTCATTGGATTTGGATGGGATCGGACAGGGATCCATACACTTACCTCTAAGCGTCGGTGGAGGAGAAGGCTTCTCATCCACCAAGGCAGATGAGCACCCACGCCGAAGTTTTGTAGTCTGAAAAGAAGAATGCCAGAGTCCAACCGATGGAATGCCTTTGAGAAGTCTAGATAGATTGCGTCAACTCTTGCACCATTATCTACAGTCTCGGTCCAGCTGGATTACGCTAGCTACAGATTTGTAGGGGACGATCGGTCTAGTCTGAAGTCATGCCGTTCCTGTGCGATGTAGATGTATTCTTCCAACTAAGTCGTTAGCACATCGCCAAAATGAGTTCCATCACCTTTGAAAGCACAGGTAGAAGTGTAACAGGAGGGTAGCAGGTTGAACGGGAATGACTACCTCTTGGTGAATTGCAGTTATCATCCACATGTCGGGTAGGTACATTTCGTCAAAGCAACGCTGAAATAATCAAAGATTAGGTTCAGTTAAGCTTGCTGCTGCCGCTGCAACTGATTTCGAGTGAAGAGTATCAACTCCGGGGAGCTGCGCTTACGTATACGCATATAAATTTTCAGTATAGTATTTGTTCTAAAGGAAAATATGTGTTTTTTGTGGTAAAACATTACTTGATATAGGGTTAAAGGGCCATTGAACATGCCGAAAGTTTGAAGTATATTACAATCGCAAGGCTTTTACCGCATCCTCGCAATCAGGGTAGAAATCCCACTTTACGTTTTTCTGGTTGTATACATGTTCATAGAGCAGCTTATGATTTGAAGCCATACGCTTTGCCAGCTTTTGTTGGTATGCCACGTTATCCCCGCGAACAAAGTGAGTGCGGTTTTTAATTTGAGCTAGGTAAACCATGCAGCTCTCCGTGCTCAGAGAGATATTGTTCATATACCAGGCAGAGTTCATCACCGCTGTACACTTGCGTGTCCTACTTCGTACAAACGAGATCACGTTTCTCGAGTGGACTGCCTTAGTTTCCACTGCCTATAAAACTATGGTGTTGAATTGGTCCACAAAATCCTCCAGTGCGCTAACCGGTGGGTCGTCTGCCAGAAGCGTCCAGTTGGTTGTCCCTCCAAGTCAAGCTAATGTGTCGGGGCGTATAACATTATCTATTGTCTCAGTAATCCCCACGCGATATTCTCTACAATAAATGTATTCGAAGAGTAAGACTAGCTGATCACTGCGGCCCTAAAGGATTTCGATGATCACCCGGTGCAGTGTAGAACACCTGCATGTCGACCTGAATCTACTGGAAATGTTGATGTGTCCATAAAGCGAAAAACTTGAGACAAGTTTTTGCCTAGCCTCTGTGAACCGTACTGCATGAATAGTTTTAGATTCCATTTCGTTGTGTCGAGATCGTCAGTTAGAAGAACATGGCTGCACTTTGTTTTTATCACTACCTCAGCGCCGATGCTAGATTAAGACCCATCTCCGGTTTGGAATATGGAGGTCGGTAAATGACAGACACCAGTTAAATGTCCTCACTTATTTAACGTAAAGGACACCAAATGGAATCCTTCACCGTGTTGCTCGAATCATTTACGGATTCACATTGGTGGTTACTGCGGAAGTGCAGAGCCACCCCACTCTCTTTGCTGGATCGGTCGAGCCGAACAACAGACAGACTGGTAGCGAGACCTCGATGTCAGTAATGTGAAGGCACAACCATGTCTTCGTTATGGACATGGGCTAACAAGCTTTGATTGCTGACGGAACCACAGTTCGGAAAATTTACTATGTAGGCCCTGAGCATTTGTGTTCAGGCAGGAAAGTTTCTAGGATGTCCGAACCGCTTGAAAAGGAGTGTGATAAGGTAGTGCAATTATGCCGACGGATGATAGGCCGGCATCTAATCCTTTTGCTGGGGGTTGGCTGGTGAACGGAACAACGCCGATTCGCGCGATCATTGCATCCCATCATTTGTCTCAACTGCACTTGCGGTATGCAGCCCCAATAGTTACTGGTCTGAGCACAAAGTACCAAATCGGAGTTGTGGTTACGTCACTGTTCTCTACTAAGAGGAAAGTATGTTGCACAATTTATGCCCACTGCGCATTAAGCTAACCATCAACTGTTCACTCTGAACCAACAACACCTATGGATCCCAGTGTCATTTGTAACAGTCAGGACTCACCGTATTGTATCGAGTTTGGATGGCTGGTGTTGCGCAGTAAGTTGGTCGACCTGACTCGAACACCAATCCGATCCCAAACGCAATTCCACTGATTTAAATAGTTCTGATGTATAACCCTTAAAGAGCTTACCTTGTACTCAGATCGCTGGTCCATATGAGTGGGAGGACACCGTAAATCCACCTGATTTTCGGTTGTGCGGAGGGCACTGTAAACAGTGGCTTTGGCGACATATTTGCTGTTTGTTTGAAAGATGTTTTGTGAGTAACGTAAGTATTGTAGAAGGCAGAAGTCACGATTAAACTCCACACGAAAATCTGCTGTTTGTGTCTGCTCCTTGACACATGTTATGGCCGCAGTACTTGACGCTACTGGATGAGCAACTTGTACGTATCAGGAAGTAACTGATGCCTAATTGGATCGGCCTTTAGAGAGGTTTGGTTTCTGCAGTAACTCCAAAGTGTAGGTACTGCCACGGTTGCATCAAGTGATACGTTGGACACGAGACAAGGGGCGGCGGAGCACGACATGCTTCGACCATTAACGATGACGAGTCGTTTTGGTGCTGTTAAGGTCTCCGTTACCATGATAACGTGAGAATAACTAGCCTATTTCGTTGTTATCGAGGGGAGTTGGAAGAGGCGCAATCCATGCCGTTTTCTCCTCTAGTGAAGTAATGTTTGCATTTAAATGAAGTTTAGTTTCGGCGGTTAAACTGTTGTAGTGTTGTGTCAATGCTGGTACATAATTTATCAGAGGAACCGTCGTACACACAGAACAGGGCCAAAGTGATGCTCGTATATCATTATACTTCCTACACATGTTAAAAACACTGGTGCATTTCAGGTGGCAATGTCTGGTACAATGAAAACATGCCAGGCATACTTTTTCTTCCCTAGCACCTGTTTGAAAGGCACAAATGACTTCACTTCGGGTTACACGGGTTGTAGACATTGTGGTCGAAGAGCGGCTGCATGGTTTGCTGACTGAATGCGTCAGGCAGTGGGGTACCATTCAGCAGTCGATCGTCAGTCGAGGTCAGAGGACTAACTCATCGCATCTTATCTCGTGTCTGTTCGTCATAACACAGGGGATAAAGCAGCTTGTGTAGACCACTTGTACGTGCCGCTTTCGTACATAGCAGGTCAACTGATTGCAAAGAATGAACTGGAGCTTGAGGAACGTTGAGAACCGTCTTAATGAGAACGATTCAGTTTGGAAGTGTAAGTAGCGTTGTAGTTACTACATACAGAGATGGAACAGGAGGTGCATAAGTTTGTCGGATAGCCTGAGCTTCCTCTATCCAAGGAGGCCAAATTTTGAGGTCAGTGTTCGTAACAGCTAAAAATTGTACTCATAAGTATTGGCGAATATCTTTTCAGACTTTTGTATCCTGGCGGAAGCAAGCTTTGTCAAAATTATTCTCTAGTGAACGTTTTTAGTAGATGGAGCTGGTCAAACGGAGAAGAAAAAGTGTCAATCCGGAGAAGTGTGACACAAGTTACGAAGAAATTCCAAAAAGCCGGGGGCACGAGGTGATGTTCTCGACTAGGCGTAGCACCGACGTGCTGGTGCCACACACAAGCGCTTTACATTGGGAAACTATCGGCAACAGCGCTGAGAGCAGACGTCGTAAGGTATTATATAACATTGTTTGGCAGTACATATACGTGAAGCGCGTTAAGAGAACAGTTGCAAATTGTCAAACCAAAAGCATGGATGTGACTGCGATTATACAACACAATTTTACTCATGCAAACACGAAGTCAGCTTTGGATGGTTAATAACTTATGCATATACATATATATATATATAATAGAAAGAGCAGAAGTCAAGTACAAGTTCTAGGAGTAGGTTTGGTTAGTCTTATGGTTGATGTAACCCGGTTGGCTGCAAAGTATACTGGACGAATTAACTTCTGAAAACTGATCGCGCTGGATGACTCTCTCGGGCTACTGGGATGTTGAGCCTTGCTAACGTGTAGGACAGTGAGTGGCGCCATATGGCAGTGTCAAGCCATTATAACCTAATGAACTTAGCTTTTGTATCGTAAGAGAACTGTTATCGCTTCGAACCCATAGGATTTGAAGAGATGTGCTCTGCCGAAGAACAAGGTTGATGGAACTGTCGTTCAGCAGTTTTGTGGTTGTGAGGTAGTTGTGTCATTGGCATTGACTGCAAGGCAGCACTTCAAAGCCCTTCAAGCTTTGCCTTATTGTCTTTTGACAAGGTTTTTATCGAATTGCCTGTGTCAAGGCTTCGACCTACATCGCTTCTATTGCGCCCGCTGATGTAACTGGGCGGTGTACAAGAGAATGACTGCTTCCAATTGAGTTCTTGGCATCTAGTGCCACCTACTTGGTGAATGAGACTGGGTGCGTGGTGAACAGACATGAGGTGTTGACAGCTATGCTCCAACTAACTCAAATGCCTATTTCATCAGGCAGCTTGGCGCGACCGTTTGGGACCAAGTTACCTGTCACTGCTTTCATGATGAGCCCAACTACTTGTGTTAACAAGGGATGCATATGATTCAATCACTAAATTATGTGTCTAGTGCAAAATTCCCACAATGTTGAGTCTAACAGATAAACGTTACACCCGAGCAAAACGCTCATTAAATGCAAGTACACCAGCATGGTTGGTGGCATATTTATATGGTCCACGTTGTGCAACCACGTCGACCCACTCTGCTACAAGCAACATGTGTGGTGCTGGAGCATTGTCCACTCCGTAAGCAACCTTGGCTCCCATCGACATGTCGATCGGTCTCCTGTTTAAGACTGACATAGAAAGTTCTAGAGAAACAGCCAGTACATGATGGCTGTTATTAGCTTGGGCGAATGGAGCCAGTTTGAGCATGCGGACGGGAAGTCAATCAAGTAACACCCACAGGACTTGAATGCAAGTAGGTGAAATGGATGAACAGTCTAAACTTGGTTCGGTGCTCAAACACAGCTTCTGTACTTGATCTGAAAGGATTGCTACTCGCTTCTTCTCTTCCATGATAAAACCAACGTTGGAGTGCGGCTCATCCGCCTAATGTCCGATCACCCGTAGCGAGGTGCAAAAGCCGAAACGTGTTCAGTATGTCCCTAACAGGTGCATCCCCAATTTGAACAGTAGGTCGTGTGAAGAACGACGGCGGAGATTGGGACTGCACTTCTTGTCGCATTGTCGGTTTCAAGTGGATCTCATAATCACTCACCGGATATTACCTCTGGGTTGCTTCTTTATGCTGAGGCCGCTTCTGCAACAGTGCGCACTAAGCTTGAACGCGTTGGTACAAGCTTGTGGTACCGGAACTGAATCGGATAGCTGACCCACTATGCTTCAAGCATCGAGTAGTGAAATAGTGAGGCCGTTTACCCGGGACTACTGTCCTGATATCGGAATTGGAGAGAAATTCCTAGGGGCCTACTTTGCGAATTACGGATTTCGAGATGGCATCACAATTGAATAATAGAACGTCGCACAGCAGAACTGTGTTAACTGTGCGCGTAATAAATAACGCTTTTTCGTATGCGTGTTCGATGATTTCTCGGTGGAGTAACACAGATATACATCTGCTAGCTCAGTAGTTTCAGTATACAGGCTTTAGCATTCAGGGAACGCAAACACTCGCTGATCTGATTGGCAACGAGTATGAAGTGAAATTAAGCAACAGGCACAGGATGGGAATCAGGAACTAGCCATGAATACCAGATATCGTTTCGGTAATCGGTGGTTTACACAACAGCGTCTCGTACCGAAAGCCCCCTGGTCATCCGCATATGCAGCCACAGTGGGCAGAATCTTCTGGACTTAGCTAATCATGACAGATAATACTTTAGATAAAACAAAACCGGAAAGCCGTTTTCACCCGTGCTTCATTACCGTTGCATTGAACGCACAGCAACGCACATTGGTCAGGGTGAGTAGGTGGTTTCTGATTTGCTGATGCTTGGATGACTTGCTCACGCTTCGTGATATTCCACTCTCTCCATCTGCTAACTGGGGATGTATCTCAGTTGTAAATGTTAAGACAACGCTGAACAGTAATCACACCAGAAAATATAACCGTCGGTACATTTGTAGCAAACAGATGAGGCATTTATAAAAAAAGTTTAATATCAATCACCTCAGTTTGGTTCCTAAACAAATTTAAAAATATTCTCACCTTAGGAACTTCGGTTTTCAACTCGAATTCGGCGAGAGTCTTTTCGTCAGAAACGTTAACTGGCGTGCGCGTCAAACTTCGCTGAATTGGATGTAGTGGTGGGTCAGTTAAACATGCGCAGCCGAGCTGGTTCAATTCAGTGTAAGAGGAATTCTTGTTTAGATAAAATGGTCCTTGATCATCTGATCGGAAGTGCGTGGGTATTATTGGTGCATGATGCACCCAAGCTGAGTGTACTTGAGTGTAGAACGAGATTGGTCGGCTGCGTAAATCACCTGACTGCAGTTGCAACGCTGGCTGTGATGTAGAATTTAACGAACAAAGCACTGGAAGCAAACAATGCTCGCATTTTACTGGTAAGTTGCCGCAGAGCGCTGGGGTCGTCCGGCCATGCGTAGACAGATCTGCATGTGAATTCGATCTAGTTTTCGGGTGCACTGAGCTGGCTCTGATTTTGTGTTCCCTTTGGCGGGCCCTGCTACTATGTGGGGACTTTTTCAGAAGTGTGCAGTGTAATACTTTACCTTCGTTACTGTTCCGTTTCTTGTCTACCGAGCTTTCACTCTCATATTCGGTGTCAGTTCCGCGACTGGACTCACTGTACATCGTGGTATAGTGAAATGGTCTTGCCTGGGGCCTGGATCCTGCTTCAATTAGCGAGTTACACCTCACACCGAATTCTCTCACATGCCTGCCGTCGATTCGATCTCGGTGCCTATACTTTTTATCAGATGACTGGCAGCTGCGCTCTGAATGTTTGATATGTATGGACTCTTCGATGCCGTGGCTTCTCAAAGCAGGTTTGTGGCCTTCGTAGCCAAAGATTACTTCAGAGCCAACTTCCCATTCCATCCCACCTTTGCAGGATGCAGAACCAATACGGACACTCTTGTATTTTGTGGACCAGCCGTTTTCGTGCACTGGGGTGGTAAATCTGACACATTCGTCAACCAAGAGCTCGGATGATATCGATGGATTAGTAGTGTTGCTCAATGTGCTGGTTGCTTCAACTGGTGCAATTAATTTGCAAGACTGTGCGATAATCGGTTTAGCACTCTAAATGAAATCGGAGATGGAAAAGATGGTTAAAATGCACCGTTTACAAACGTGGTCGTGCAAATCCGATATACATTTTGTACGCGGTTGTTGCTGGGTATGTTAAAGTGGATGAGAATAACGTCATCAATAGCAGCGATTAGAGTGGTTGATTCATAAGTGTTTGCAGTGTTGAAGCCTTAATCCTTGGGTGGAATAAGATCATGTACTACAAAGCCTTGCAAAAGAATAAACACCTCGAACGCTGTATAGTGTTCTTTCCGGATGCCTTCTCAACGGAACCTTCATTTACATACTGGAGACTAGATGGTGTCCGTGCCAAATCGGGTCAAGGATGAAGTTTGCATTTTTAATGGACGTATTTCGCTACTTACGTGAGAATTGACCACTGCAGAAAACCACTGTTTATTAAACGCTTGAATAATGGATTGCACTTACCGACACATACAATGTTTATCTAGCAATAATCGTGCTCTTATGGCGCAAAGTGCGTAGATCTCATAATAAGATGCCTATCCCAGAAAATGCGCGAACACCTCCATATGTTGTTTAAAAAACGCGACGAGGTCTTACAGCGGATATACCGCGTTGAATTTGATTGTGTAAGGTCAGTCAACGTCAGAGAGAGGTTCCATGGTTGTATACTCTTTATCTGAATGCATCGCACGGGATTTCCGTAAGAAACTTTTATCTACTACTACGGCTACACAGCTTCGACAGTGAACGCCGGAATTATGTGTCAAAGCGACGCAAACAGTCTACCTTGCTACCGTGATCGAAAAGCACTGTTGCATATGTGGTTCAATGCTATCCGAGTTATTCACGTCTAATTATTGAGAACTGAGTCACTCACCACGTGCTTTGTTTCTTGAGCATACTATTTGTTGCCACTATCTAATTTACTGATATTGCCGTTCAAACACTGCAAAATCTATTCTTTATCACGCTTTAAGATTCATATCACGTAGCGTCCGAGATGCTGATGTACCGTCCCATGAAAGTCTGTCCACAAGAACTTATTCACCCATCCAGCATTTTTGCTCATGATTATTATCTATGTGACGCTCGAAGTGTCCTAGATGATGGTTATTCATTGGATTCTCTAGCAATGTGCGTACTATAAATTTGAAGCAGTTTTTGCAAATAACCTGGCGTTAGTGGACAGGGAACTAGCCGCCATGTAACATAGTGCTGCGCCACGGCCGCCCAGGCAGTTGTCGTGCACAGGATGAGACCGCCAAATGTAATCTACTCCAATTGCTGATGATACCATGTGCTTTACGAGAGTGTGAATCTGGGGCACCATACCAAGAATTCAGACCCCGCTGAGCAGTAACACACAAGTGTACCGCGGTTTGGTAGGTCTCGCTGCATTGTGAATTTGACCATCATGACCTGATGAAAGCAAGCCGTTACTTTGGAGATCTGAGGGACTATTCTGATCATGCCATTAGGATAGAGTTGTCCGCATTTGAAGAGACTTGAAAGGAGGAAACAAAACTTCTGCCTTGCCCCAGAAAATGACAGCACATATTTTCGCGATGCAAATGCAACACTGGCTACCTCTGCGTAGGTGCTGGTCCTGCCTCACAAACTCAGCCCTGCTTCAGAATGGTAACAATTGCGATCCAATCCCAGACTGTATCAATAACTTCCTCTATGAACGCCTTCTGAAAGACGACAAATTTATCGTTCTACAGGTGCAGGTAATATAACATTTTCGGTTGCATTACTTACGGAGGACTCGGTTTTCCCTGAACTTTCTGCCACTTGTGCCGGACGAATGCGAATTTCACTGAAATAGAAAGTAACACGGTCTAGTTGTTGAACGTTAGGTACAAGAACAATTTGAATAGACCTGTGCGCATGTTAACTATAAGAATTGATAACTGCCACATTAAACTCTAATGTCGCCTCGTACTTGTCACTATACCTTGGTGTGGCTGTGCTCAAGCAGGTAAAATGTACACAGGAGCCAACTAATGTTGATGCTAAACATTCTGTGCACCTGGGTTCTGTAAAACACTCCGTTTCACAGCATTCCATCACTGAAGTCAATACGACTGTGACCAAAGCGTTAAGAGTACAACATATTACAAAATCAGATGCATTTTCAAAAGGCTTGGCACTTGATTATTCCGTTTTATTGAGGCTTGTATTCCGGATGTATGTGATGAGAGATGTTCGTCGAACCGAAGAATTTGGTGTCAAAAGCCAACTATACGCAAAAAGAGGAGACCCTTTTGAAACACTTTTCCGACCATCCATTTCAGCTGATCGGTGAATAAAGCCCAGTGTCATCAGAATGGCTACAGTGTTTCTAAAAATGTGATTCTAAAAATGTCGGAAGTTCTGGACATAGAGAAACTGCATCCCTTGAATCGAATACGGTTACAAAGAGTCGATCGTTCTATACTCAGCCAAAATGTATGAAGACGATTGCGAATGTCGTCCGATTATCTGTCTCGCTAGCGTAGTTGATGAATGAGCCGTTTGCTATGAAGAAAAATGTGCTTAGCATAGGATCATGAGTTTGATCGTAACCAAGCTTCTTCTGAACCTCATGACGTACGTTCGGATCAACTACGCTTCCGGGTTTACCAGCCTTAGTTAGCCCTCAAGTAAATAGTACCCAAATACCAACTTGTGTAAACACTGAATGCAGCCTACAGGTTGACTGATAGCAAGTGGCAATGAACTAATTTTACCAGTTGAGTTGCCACTGGTGGCTTACAGAATCATCAGAAGTTAGGTGGTGAACACATCAGCTGTAATAAGTGCCACTCTCTCATTAAATCTAATCATTAATGCCCATCGAGTGTCATGCCTTCAGATGCCGGTGTGATTGGTCCGCTTTATTCTTCCTATCATGTCTATGGACGCTTGAATAAATGGGAAACCAGTTCTTCTGTGGATTGATCAGGCAATCATCTTATGGGTGTCCACATGAAGCGCAGATGGACGTTTAGGAATATTCCAGTATAACTAGCCATTACCAAAAGGGCAACGCTTCTCATCCAGTATCGATGCGCTTGCAAGACACATTTTCATTTCCTGTTGTTGCAACCTGTGCAGCCCGTGGGCCAGTCCATCTCTGAACGGTTGTTCAAGAGGCGGTCAAATTTCTCTCACCTGATCTGCGTTATGTCTGCAGTCTGCCTGCAGACGGCGCCTGAAGCAGCATCCACAGGCGTCTCATCGGCTGCAAGGTGAGTTCATATACCTTCATCAAGAAAGTAAAGATTCCCTTCTGTTGGATGCGCTCGGTGTAGCACCCAATTTGTCCCGCCTTCTCCGTCCACTACGCAAACGTGATGCGACGGAGCATTCGAATCAATCGCCGTCGCAACTTGCAAAAGTGACTCTCACTCTCGGAGTCGGCAGGGTCATCCACATTTGCAGCGAATGTCGCAGTATTCAGCGACACCAATGCGCCAGTGGTCGCACTATTGTTATCTAATCAATCGGGCTCCATACAGTTTGCGCGCCCGCTTGTTTCCTCGGCAGCAGTGGTCACCTGTCCACGGATGTGTTGCTGCAGCTTGATCTTCGAGGTGATGGATTCCACATGGTCAAGGCAGGTAGACATCCCCTTCCTCAGTTCCATCCTCTTCTCAGTACTACCTAGGGAAAACGTTAAAATTACGCCGCTGACTCATGGCAAGTGAACAAAACACAGAAATGCGACATTATATGTACAATCTGGTCCGCAATAACTTGTGATCAGTGCCACACTCAGCTCAACGCGGTACATGTGCCTTGCGCGCTTCACGCATTTCACGCTAACGTACGATGACATAGTCGAGCAGGTGAGCGTAACCAATCTATGGGTGCGCCCAAGTAGCTATATCACTCGCATCCAGTGCAAACCGGGTGTGTGTGATCGTCAGGCCGTGAGTGGCGCACAGTGAGAGCAGCCGGTCACCGTTCCCCTTGGCTGTGCCAATATCATATGGACCGAGGAAGTCTGGCCACATCGCGGCATCACGTCCGGCGCGCGCGTTGAAATCCCCAGTAGGAATAGCCCATCGCTGCTTGGTATAGACAGAATCATGGAGGGGAACGAAGCGTAAAACTGATCCCTCGTATCATCTGCATAACACATGCTGGGACCATGTCGCAGACGGAGTCTTCAAACGTGGGCTGATACCAGTCGGCTCTCTCATCAACTGGCCATTTAGGCACTAGGGCACTGCAAATCAGACACCATGCCTACATGGTGCTGTGGCGCCCTTTCACACCCAGTAGCACTCGTACCCAGCACCAGCGTCATGTAGTTGCTCTTGCCCAGCGAAACTTGTCTCTCTGAGTGCAGCAATGTCGAACCCGTAGTGTGCGACTTCCGTCGTGACCAATGCCATGTATCGCTATGGACGTTCACTCATGTTTCGGTCGAGTAGCCCCGCAAGTTCCAGCACCCAACATTGAATGCCTCGCTAAGAGGCCTATGATTGTGGTGATGAGCTATCGTACGGGTGGTGGTCTGGATTGGATGAAGTTGTGTGACAGGTGAAACGGGGATGGGGAGAATATGTGCAGCATAAGAAGAAAGAAGGGAGTCGTCAGCGGTAGCACGCTTTCGCTTATCCATCTTGTTGTATGCAGCAGATAAAGCGATCTTTTCGCTCATCTACCGCTGCGGGACGGCCGATGCAGGATGGTAGTATCAGTATTGGTGAATTTCATGGTTTGCTTTCGGACTGGTCTTCTGCCAGTACGTCCACAGCTGAACAGGAAAACGACTCGGGTCTTCAGCCAAAGCCTTTGATGAAATGTACACCTGAAAGACGGCGATCAGTACGCCATGAGTCCGTGAACCGACTCACGCGGAATTGTGTGTGTCCTGGCTTGTAGCTGAAACAGAGGTGTAACCTAACTGTCACCCAGCGATCACCACGACGTGGCGTCTGCAAACTGATGCCACGGCATAACATTAGCAGCAGCGGGTCGACGAGCTGTCAGGATTTCGCAGCCGCAAGCTTCAGCGCGCAATGGACTGTCCCGGTCGGTAGCATAACAGCAGCATAAGATATAACTATTGCTAGTCACCACTTAAATATCATCGCAAGGCCGTATACACAACACCATTAAGATGATTTTCTTCCTGGATCACTTCGACCTCACACAGCCTTACGGTCACACTATTTTGCGCTCTAATAACTTTGGCGATTTTCCGTAACATGTTGTCGTACGTCGTTGGATGTACACTTTGTCGTTTCGGTTTGACGAGCTTCAGCTATTGAAAGTGTTTACACTGGAATAATTTCAGCAGGGATTGTTACTAACGGATTTAAAAAGTTGGGCAATTTTTTGCTCTTATCAACGAGCACAGCTTATCTCAGTTACCATCACCCACCCTAAGGTCGCCCAGCTTTCCAGCAAGGTTTCAACCGTCTTATTCGATCGCCGTTAGTGGTAGCTAAAGTGCGAACTACGCTTCCACAGCAAATCCTTCTCAGTCAAGCGATCGTCAACTTTCTTCGCTTCTGATTTCTGTCGGTGCGATCAATTAACCTTCCTGGTACGACAACAATCTACGCTAGCCGCCATATTTGCGATCGTGTGACGCACGGACGCAACGCGCAATGCACGATGAGCCCGCCATCTGCCCTGGACCTGAAAATGGGTGACCAAACGATAATCGACTGCGAGAGGCTGCTAAGCCGCAAATCAGAGCGCGGCCATTCGGCCACGAGGACCACAACTGTAACTCGAAAGGAACTCTTTTGTGCGAAGCAAGCATGTGCCGGGATACTGGACTGTTTTCACTTTACTAACCGTTGTTATCTGAAGTTCGTTAGCCTGTCGAACGAAACTAAAGAACTATGACAGTATACCGGACTCTATATTTGTTCTGTCCTACTTGTGTAGTATTAACACAAAACATTGAGCGTCTAATCGCCGAAACTAAACTTCATATTCTGAGAGGATTGCATTGTTCAAGGCGAAAATAGCATGGCTCGCATCTGATCTGACCCCTCATCAATTGCTACCTCAAAACCAAGAGAAAGTGCCAAGGGGTTCCACAGTTGTTGCAGTAACAGTAAACTTGGGAACCACGAACCAATTCGTCCTCGTGAACGATCGAAGCATTCCCTGCTCCACCGCCAACTGTGCCCTGACAATTGCATGCATCAACCTTCCTGGGTCCGACTTGTTAAGCGGTAAACAACAGGATGAAATGAGGCAATAAAATTTCCTTTGAGATAAAATCAGAGTCCAAGCCAGGCCGACTCATTTGATGCGCACCATCATACATCCAACTTCGACTCACTAAGTGGAGTCATGGCTAATGTGAGTAACATTGGGATCCACAGATAATGTCGAGACGGTGCTTTTGCCGGCATACCACCTGCAGAGTGGGATACGCATATTTCCGGATGTTACATAAGGCGAACGCCAGCGGGACAAAAATAATACAAACGACTACCACATCAAAAGTAACAAAAGAATCATTTTCGTTCACGGCGTGCCCGAGCAATCTGTAGCTACCGAAGAGAAAGCCGTTGCGGTACGTCTGTGAAGCATTTTTTGATGGCAAAATCATCTTTGAATTAATTTCAAGGTTATCCGTGCCGAGTCACTACAAAGTGGTGGCCCGAGGATACTGAAACTAATGATACAGTCACAACAGATGGCGGTAAAATTAAGCCGAAACTGGTCTGATGCTGCGTGACACACTTCCGATTGAAGACAACAGTTAGAGAACCGCAGTTACTCGCCGTCCTCGTGGAAACAGCAACACGCGGAACTCATTATAACCACAACAGCGATTCAGAAAACTGCGCACCATGACCAGCAGCTATCAATACCGCTGAATATGCACTCCATACCTCAGGTGCAGGTGTGACCAAAATCAGAATACAATTATGTCGAGATTTGGCAAGTGTCGTAAAAATCGAGTAGGTGCTTACCTCTCATTGGACGGCAAAAACCCAAATTATTCATAGGCTTCCAGTCAAGAAATTTGACCCAAGATATGCATTCCTGCATGTACACTAACCTTCAAGGCCTACTGAGTGAACTTTCCGGAATTCGGCTGAGTCAAGGACCACAAGCATGTGGTCTCGTCGCTAAAACGGAAACATGGTTACGTCCTGACATGTGACATCGAGATCCCACTGTCAGACTTGTCCGTTGTTCGGCACGACCAACCAAACAAAGGTGGAAGGGGGGCTCGGTACTACTGCAGTGACCTCCACTGTGAGCCTATAGAAGATCCGGTCAGCACGATACATGATTCCCTGCGAGGAAACGGTCGTTTAACACGTTCGTCCTTCTCCACGCCCGAAATGGACTCCTATCTGACATCCGAAGTAAGGCGGATGAAAAACAAAGAGTCAAGTCACATTGTTAGTACTGGGCATTTTCTTATCAACGCTCTGGAATCTCAAGCTGCCCTTGGAGAACAGTTCAAAGCTGACTCACATGAGCTTGGCATTACCTTCCAGCTATGTGGCCACATCAACACTCCCACCATATTCAGGATAGGATGTTCACCAACAAAGAACCGATGGTCGCGAAGGTAACGGTCGATGTCCCCTTGGGCCGCAGCTATTATGTAGTCCAGCTCTTTGAATAGCTTTGTTATAGAGAATATACCGTAGAAATTGCCAACGCGACTGGAAGGATGATACGCGACGGCATATTAGCTCGACTAGGTAAGACTAGTAAGGGGAGCAGCCAAGCCGACGAGGCACAAGCTCGCGCGTGGAAACAGTTCGTCGGCCAGTCTAACACTGCTTGCCGAAGCATCAGCTACTTAGACTATCCACCCAAGAAACATGGTATCGTTTCTGCAGAAGCAGGACACGCAAGTGTGTGGAGGTGCGAAATTCGGCCTAACTTAAAATATAAGATCTCCCCGAGCACCGATACCTGGATAGCCTAAGCACTGTAGCCAACTTGTCCGTGAAGATAGAATGGTGTACCGGAAGACGTTGCTAATATTTATGGGCTCAAACCAAAAGTTTCTGTATCAAAACCTAAACAGTCTACGTAGGGTGAAGCAGGAAATTCCTGCTCGTTATACAACGGACGGACTGACGCGAACCCTGAAGAATGCGGCGAACATCATGCCTCTGTAATATGCTCCAAGCTATCGGTGAGCTGACGTGCGACCTAGCTTTATTACAAGGGTTGTCTCACCCCCAAAACTCAATAATATATCCTTCAAGACAGAAACAATAAATGAACAACTGTTTATTAGGTGTGAGCACAGCTCTCCTACAGTTGATAATATACACTCGAAGTTGCTAGCGGTGGTAGGAGTGAGTTTAGCTGGGCCATTGGCTAGATTCTTCCAAACCTGTTTTGACGAAATGTACGTGCCCGATATGTGGAAACACAGGACGATTGAACCAATTCACAAGTGTTACTTGTTCCGATCCACCCAACTACCGCCCGTAATCCTACTACCGGTACTTTCATAAGTCATGAAAGCTATTGTTTTTATGTGCTAACGGCTTACTTGGAACAATTTAACTACTTTGCATAGGAACAGCACAGCTTCCGATAAACTCGATCGTGCACTACAAATCTGATGCTAGCACAATCCAGTTGGACCAAAGCAGTAGAAATTGTCAGATGAGTTGAGATAGTTTTTCTCGACTTCTCAAAGACATTCGACCGGTTAGACCATGACCTTTGGCATTGATGATCCTCTCCTAAAGTGGATCAAATGTTTTCTCCTCAACAACGTTTGGAAGCAAGATGTGTAAAATTCATGTCAGATTCCATGTAAGTCAAATGCGATATACCCCAAGGATCGGTACTAGAGCCACGGTATTTCTGACGTATATAAATGATATCACACACCCCACCAGCTGGAACTGCCTGCTCTATATTTATGACATCAGCGGGTGGAGGGCAATCAATATATCAGATGATCCTACACTTCAAGCTGATATTGATAGGGTAGACGCGTGCTTAATCCAGAATCTACTTCGGTTTAATGTGAATAAATGTAGCGTACAACACTTACTTCACCAGCTGGAGTGCTGCTATAAACTAGGCATACAGGAGTTTCCGACGTCGTGCAGTGAAAAGGATCTGGAGGTTCTGATCCCGGTCGGCGTTGGCTGTTCGAAACAGACTGAAAGGCGTAAATAAGGGGCATCCAACACATTGACCTGCTGAGGAGTGCATTCGGACCAGTAGAGCCGTAGATTTGTCAACAACTCAGAACATACATACGTCCACATGTGGAGCACGCAATACAGGTCTGGCAGTCATGGCTGAGGAGCTACATCAGCACTTTGGCGATACCCGAATTCCGGACAACGAAGCATCTCAAAGGCTTGTACCATTAGCCTCAGGAACAAAATTTTCGAGTGCTCGGGGTCTTCAGAGTATGGTACCGCGAACTGCATTGGAATCTTACTTCGTGGTACCAGATTTTGGGAGGTGCCACGCACACGTACCACCATTTGCTAAAGCTCAGTCACAACAGAACTCGGAGCGTCCACAATCGTAAGCTGCCAAAGCAGTACAGTTGTTTGTAATGCCGTCGGGATTTCTTTTCCGTACCTGTTTGCCGATTGTGGAATGCTCTACTGGAATCTATCATCTGTGCTCCAACGCTGGTAGAGTCAAAGTCCGAGTTGACCGTGCGCTCATTTGCTGTACCATCTCACATGAATCTTTGTCCATAACCAAATACGAGTGTCTGTTTGAGGTTTCACTGACAGTCAGCTCCCGGAATACGTTTCTCCTTTCTACCTCCTGCATATGTTCACCAGAAAGCGACAGCTTTTCCACAAACATCCCATTTATCGCTATCCTATTAGATTTAAAGTGCATTAAAGGTTTATAATACGGATCCCTCGGTGAGTCTACCGATGTGAACTTACTTTGCTGACAACTTTTCCATAGTTGACAATATTCACAATGACCATCCTACGGAAGATGTTAAGCTCCAGCCAATTACAGGTACTACACCATTGTTCCACTGTACCATACGTAAACGGTTGCATTTCAATCCGTTTAAACTGGTTAATGAAGCGTACTTATAAGCACGCAAGATGGTAAGCAGCATCGGGTTTCGGATTTGCCTGTCACTGCGGCCTCCATAGGACAGTCACAGGACGTATGCGCCTATGGGTAACTTATGCTGCACCACACACAGCTCCATCCACGCAGCACAACTCCAGTGTAAACCCGAAGTAATACGACTGCGAGGCACGTGGATGGGAGCTACATTTGATCAACGGAACAGGCCACACTACTTTAACATGCAAAGCAGCAGCATTCTTGTCCAAGTATTTTGGGAACTAAGCGTACTAGGCATACACGAAGCGGTAGCTGTGCCGTAGTCCGCGCCACACTGGATGGAACCACAAGTTGAGCCTAACACGGCCACGAGGACCACGCGCCCCGTCCCCAAGCATCGATTCACAATCTCTTGGAGCCAGTAATCGATGTGGAATTTGTCTGACAGATAAGCACCTTGTCACATCAAGCACAGCACAGCCGGGGATATCAACCAATTAACATAGAATTTGATGTTAACTAGACCCGCGCAACTGACATAGAATATGCAGCAGAATAACAGAATGGAGCAAAGCAAATAATGTGGAATACCTATTATCCAGATTAGGGATGTTAACACCTACATGTGCACTTAAGTGTAAGTCCGTGTAGCCCCACTGCGTGCACAAGCATTCTGATCCGTGTGCATAGTCACCTTTAACTGAGGGGTCCACGTTGGTAATCAAGTGAATTGCTACAATCACATGGTCTCCTAAATGTTGACATTTAAGTCTCAAGATCGCTTTCGAAAACTTACGTAATATTCTCTTCCTTCAGCAATTGGTGTGCACTATTTTCATTTGGCCACGTGATGATGCAGCGTGGCCGAGCTTTGCTTCGGTTTTCACTCTCAGAGGATTTTGTTTTTGGGTCTGTTAATTGTGAACAATCTCCGCCTTGTGACTGAGCCGTGACGAGGTGGTGACCGTCGCCTGCGTCTCCAGAGGGGCATCCGTGAGATCCGTTTACGAGTACGGTATCATCCAATCGATAAGTGTCCTGCCCAGTGACAGTGTTGCCTTGATGATTCGCGGAAGGTGAGCCTACAAGCACTGACGCATCGAATTCTTGGGGAATCAGCAACCGATTGGATTTACACTGCGCCTCCGCTACAACGATTGGAGAGAAGAGACTAAGATTAATAAATACTGGTTTAAAAGAGGAAGGAACGAAAAAGCACAGTGTAAGCTGAGAAGGTCAAGTAAGTGGAAGCAAATCTTGCCACTTAAGAGAGGCTTAAAAAGTGGCATTTAGCGGAACCTGAATTTTATAGCATGTCGACTTCCGCCCTACACACCAACCATGGTCATAGCCTCCTTACGTGCCACTAACATCTATGATTGGCCGAGCGGACGTGGACGCAATCACGTGGCATGAGGCAGTGGCACGAGCACGTGCAACAACGGGTAGTGGTGAGGCGAGTAGTCGATCCACACTAGCGTTTCAAGGTCGACTCGTATACAGGTGTGAACAAACGTGAGCCAAAATTGATCGGTTGGAAAATCAGTCCAAAGGGCTTGTGGACTCTAACCAAAGGTTGCGGACCGAAACTCCAGGGTCCCTGCTTGGGATTTCCAGCTTACACTATTGGCGAAAACACGTGTGTGAACATTGCATTATACCGGAAAGCTGGACGAATGGAATTGCTATCATGCATTTCCCACGAGCTGCCTTGGTAATGTAGCGTGACCAATGTGTACAGTTTAAAAGGCATCGTCGCGAAAAGCCTTATGAATGCAAACGACCAATCATACACACGCCTATGGTTTTCTGGAAATGCACTCAAAACAACTACTTGACCAAAAGCCCTCATGCTCGACCGAACCATGGTTAAAGGGAATCTGAAACAGTTAGTTCCATTTAGTAATTTGAAACCGCAGTAAGAAGACGAAGAGTGGCAAATGCACGCATTTCGTACTGTCTCATTAGTGCCTTTAACAGTAACTCGCAATAAGATTTGTTCAGTGAAGAATACGACCGAACGTACATGCAAACAAACAAACAAACCAAAGCACAATAAGCGAGACAGGGTTATCCCCCATATCCCCATGGCAGTCTACTGCTGTCCGATAATTGTTTCTGAACGCAAAGCAGCGGCTTAATCCAGTTAATTGCAATCGCCTCTGCGAAACGGAGGAGGCGAGAATTGGAGTGCTGTAATAGGATTGTGAACGCCGAAGTGACCTCGACTCGGTGACCTGTGGTCAATAAGTGCCGGCCGATCGAAGAGGCTGGTGACTTACGCAGACAAGCGGCTTGACTCTGGCCAGTTTCGTGATTGTGTTTTCATGTCGTAATCCTCGTAACACGCAACAAACCCTACAAACCCAACTCAGCTCCCACTTTTTATGCTTAACGATACTCGCTAATGTGTCAGCCCCATGACTGCTTCCGTCCACTAACGGTATTAAGAACACGCAAGACAATCCGGGTACAAAACAATGATATTCGCAGCAAACCGAACAGACAGTTAAGCGTCTGTGAGTACAAATCAACTGTATAATCAAAATCTGGGCATATACAAAGACTATGCAGAAAGGGTGACGCTCGATCAGTCAAGGCTGGTCAATTCAAGGGGGAAAGATCGATAAGGTGCCTTATGAAAGAGCGAAATACACAGAGTAGGAGAATAGCTAATAAGCATAAGATGCTGTATCACTACTATGAGGCGACAAAAGGCGCATGCGAGGGACCGTAAAAGAGAGCGGGATGAATAGGAGTGAGGGAGGCAAACTCACAAAGCCAAGGGTAGAGTTTGGTAGAGTTTTCTTACCACCGCTTTAATACTCGCAAGGGTTCTTGGTGAAGCCTTCTGGCAGGGATTACCGCGTCTTGGGTTACATTCCTTGATCCGGCTATCCATAAGGAAATATGCCAGACCAACTGGAAACCAGGTGTGAAGCGCGGTAATAGGAGCTAGCAACACGGAAATCGATATTGTTCGCGTAAGAGCACAGACACCGTCTAAGTTTAATGCGCAGACCAAACGAATTTCCGTGTTGCAATTAAAATTTAATTGAGCAGTATAAAACAGTGAAGAAGCAGTCCAGCTGTTCTACTGACGCCAATGATGGCTACCGACCCAAATTATGGCGTGCAGAGAATGTAGCTGTTTAACAAAATGGCGACAACCCCCGTTGGACTTCGGAGTACCTGCCTTGCGTCTGAGTTGCCACAAGCAACCTAGGCCACAGTTTACTTTACAATAAAATGCAGTGTTGGAATAGAGTAGCACCGCAATACTCTAACAGATGATACCAAGCAAACACATTGAATCTATCAACTCTATCAGGTTCCGAGTGAGATGTGTGTTAACTGAATTGTGCAGAAGCTATCGACATGTGAACATGCCTAAAACCAACAAATAACTACGGGAATTAATGCGCAAAATGTTCTGATGACAACTTTCTATCAGGCACACGTGCCACGCGCCATGAAAGCCGTTCTTCCTGCTATATATGCGCGCGGCAGCATGCAGTAAGTCGGCAGTAACGGCCTATACTGTTTACAATGCGCGCTCACGAAGTGCACTAAGCGTGACCACTTACGACGCCAGTCCTCTGTGCATGCGGATTATTGCCATGTTTATTTCATCAGTTTGATGTGGTAGTCATTGTCGTCGATTGCTTCGGTAGTTTTTGCTGTGACGCCTGACCGGTTTTCTATGTTATACCGTTTGGGTGGCCCAGTCACTTGCTTGCGAGTTTCCAGTTGTTACCATACTACTTGTTTCGCAAGCAGTAGTATCTCCTACTGCGCCACAAATGGGCATGTGACAATCGTAAATAACTGTTATGCTTACGATTCCATATTTCCTTGCAATGCATGTGCAGCTTGTTTAAAAATATTGCAACTACACACAACTCTTCCAAGCTCGTCTTCATGTTGTTCTAGCTTTCTGCAAGCGTCGTGAATTGTGCGCTCCGCTGTCTTTGCGTACTGCTGTCGCCCGATGCCGAAGCATATCAGGAGCTATTTCTGTAAAGTATACCTATTCATTGACTGATTTGATATCATTTACAAACGTCATTAGTGTAATGATAACAAAATTTCTTCACGGTACTTCGCAGTGCCATGCGCCTATGTGATTTTGGGCACATTTCTATCTTTCAAGTTCATGCAGCAAACCGAGTAACTCAGCTCACAATTCGCACTGTTTTGATTTCGGATGACGTCCAAATGTCTGTACTGTTACCGATCCGGATGCACTTCATTGGCCAGGGCTGCACATCGCTAAACGCTCCTGTACCACACGGCAAATTTTATTTAAAATGGGGGGGGGCTTGCTAGCCCATTTAAGCAAAAACAGTACCGATTGCATCACACACGTATTGAAAACTACACAAACTGCTACATTTGTTGCACATCCAAAATGATGAATGCGTGACAGATGCACAATAGTAGAACAAGGTGCTGTTGCTTCTGTTGCGCTATGCCCAGAGAGGCATGGAAACACCGAGCGCAGCTTCGTATGAAAACTTTCTCGACTCTGTATTAGACCTGTTGCTCTCATTCCCATCCCTATCCCCATTACTAAACTTCCTTCTATAATTCCCAGCTTAATTGACAGCAACCGAAGTGCCACTGGAGTAGAACCATCTGCAGCCACCATCCTCATGTGGTATGTCTAAATGCCAACATGGACATTGAGTCTCTTCTCGGTCTCTGGAACTTATCGACGCTCGCCGGCATATCCCGGCTGGAAGCGAGAACAATGAAACTCACAAAGAGCTCCGGGCAAAACTCCACGCTAGCCTGAAGAGAGACCGCGAATCTTGGTGGTCACATCGTGCGTCAGAGATGGAAGTGACCGCTGCCCTTGGCAACCATCGTAACTTATTTCGTCTGATACGGGAAACGGGCAGCAGGAGGCCTGGTGTTAGTGAAACAATTTGTGCTGAGAGTGGACAGCCTATCCACAATTTGTCAAAACGTTTGGAGTTTTGGGCTGAGCATTTTGAAAAGCAATTTAATCGGCTAGAATTGTTCGATTCTTCGCCGGCGAGTGACCGCCCTGCTCCGTGGACTGTCCCTTTGGATCCACCCTCTCGCTCAGAAGTCGAACGTGAGATCGGACCGTTGAAGTTGAACAAAGCCGCGGGACCAGATGATCTTCCTCCAGTCCTCTTCAAATTCTGAGGCTCTGCTCTTATTGATGATTCACATGAATTACTAATAAAACTGTGGGAGCAGGAGACTGTCCCAACCGACTGGACCTGCTCCGTTATTGTTCCCATCTTCAAAGGCGGCTCGCGCTCGGAATGCGGCAGCCATAGAGGACTCAGTCTGATCTCCATCGCCTCCAAATTACTCGCCTCCATAATCCTTCACAGACTGACTGGCGCTCGTGAAAGCCAGATTCGTGAGGAGCAAGCCGGGTTTCGTTGGGGTCGTGGCTGCATCGACCACATCATCACTTTGCGTCAGTTGTTAGAGCACCGTCACACACACTTGGCGGCCCACCCTAGTCGTGTTCCTCGACATCAAAGGTGCCTTCGATTTGGTTGATCAATGTGCCCTTTGGAAATGTTTACTCAGGAAAGGTGTGCCCGAGAAATAGGTAAATATTATCCAAGCATTATATGCGCGTAGCACGGGCAGAGTGAGGGCTTACGGCAAGCTGTCGCCATCCTTCAGTATCTCCAGCGGTGTGAGACAAGGATATCCGCTGTCACCTTTTCTCTTCAACTTTGCTATTGACGAAATCGTGGAGTTTGCATTTACTGGACATGACTTGGAAGGTGTGGAGCTACTCACAGGAGAACGACTTCTTGACTTGGAGTATGCAGACGACATTGCCCACATCTGTGACAGTTCCCAGACGTGTCAAGCCGCGCTGGACAGATTAGCACTGGCTGTCAGCCGCTTCGGGCTTTGCTTTGCACCATCGAAGTGCAAAGCGTTCCTCCAAGATTGGCAGGGATCGCCTCCTGCGCTGACCCTTGGTGAGGATCAGCTAGAAGTCGTTCAGAAATTCAATCACCTGGGAAGTTGTAGCAGCGCCCTTGGGATCGAAGACGAGATCATGAACCGTATAGCGAAAGCTCGGAGTGCTTTTGCTAAGCTTCGCCACCTATGGCGGCGGCGCGACATCACTCTCGCCCTGAAG